AAAAACTGGCCAGTGGGGCAAGAAACTGCCCTTGCCGCAATTGCTGACAATTACTGTCCAAATTGAGCCAGGAGAATACAAAAAAAGTCAACTGCAAAACTTTGCCAACGTAATGTAGGACAGTCCTTCAGAATTCCTACCTTCATAGGAAGGTCTGTCAGATATGTTAGGCCTGTAGGCCAAGGTTGGATGCTCCAATATTGCAGAGGAAGCTTGAGTAACTATCCAGGCAGCCTGAGGTCCCTGTCCTTAGGTAACATTTCACCATTCTGAAGTCTTTGATGAAGCTAAAGACTAGATAGTTGTAGTTAAGGCTTTCTAAGTTGTAAGAAGATGTAAATTAGATATAAAACTTTAAACTCTCCCAGATAAGATAGATAATAGAGTATTTTCTCTGATTTTGCTAAATACAAATGGACAACATTGTAACTGCAACTCTTACTTGATAACTGTTTTTGTTGTATATAATTTTACTATGTTGAAGTTAAGACCTTCTTTTATAATTAGACAAAAAGGGGGAAATGCTTTGGAATAATCCTTCTTTACCCTGTGAATGTGCATTACTCTCATTAGTTAATAAAAAGCTGATAGACAAGTAGTCGGGCAGGAAGTATAGGTGAGGCAGCCAGAAACAGAGGACTCTGGGAAGAAGAAGACCAGAGTAGAGGAGATGTCAGCCAGCTGCCAAGCAAGCAGGCTCTGTAGAAAATGAGGTAACAAGCCATTAGCCATGTGGCAAAGCATAAATAGAAATATGGGTTAATTAAAATATAAGAGTTCGCTAGTAATAAGCCTGAGCCATTGACTAAACACTTATAAATAATATTAAATCTCTGTGTGGTAATTTGGAAGCAGCTGCCATGATGGGGAGCAGGTGTTCAGGACAGGAAAACTGACTACAGCTATTTCTGACTCTTTTGCTGGCTTTTGCAACCCTTATCCTCATACTGGGTTGCCTCATCCCACCTTCAACACAATATCCCATGTTTGTTTGATACCTGTGGGAGGCCTGCACTTTTCTGAATAGACATGGAGGAGGGCTGGATGGGGAGCAGGCATAGGGGTGTTGGGCAAAGGACTAGGAGGAGAGGAAGAGGGGATGCAGAGGGGAGGTGGTAGTGTAAGGACTGGGAGGAGAGGAAGGTAGAGAAACAGCAGCTGAGTTGTAAAAAAGTAAAATTAAAAGAAAGAAAAGGCAGACAGGTTTGCCTTCCTCGCAGGTTTCATATAAAAGAATAAACAGATTTCATGTGTAACTGTCCCCAAAAGGAGCATGCTTTGCAATGATTGTTCTAAGTAAAAATTACTCATGTCTCTGGTAAATGATTAGATTTTTTGAAAGTCCATGCAAGGTCTGAGGATATAAAAGTTTAAATAAGTTCCGAGAGTCTAAGAAATAATTTAGGCTATATACATCATGAGAGTTATTTCAGATTTGTCTGTCCACTTCTATGCTATTGTTACACTGAGATTTCAAAGATTCAGTTTTAACATTGATCAATGGAGTTCTAGTAGAGCACTGACTACTTACAAGTCAGTCACAAGCTCAAGATTTTAACTTTGCTTTGTTTTTTAAGTGTATACTTAAAGGTGCTTTTCACTGGGCTAAAATCATCTCTGTCCGAGTTATATATCCTGCTCTTGAAACAGAGCAAATAATGTTCATGCTTTTTATCCCAAAGCTGAAGCTTTCACTAGGACTTCAAAGACATGAGTCTACTCCTGCGGTTTTAAAGACAGATGTTAACTGCTTTTTCTACAATGTGGATTTCAGTACATTGATAATGTTAATATATCTAAAACATTTATCCTTTTTTAACTAAAACATTTATGAATTAGGGAGTTAAAGAAATCATCGACTTGAATCCACCTGTCAGAGGTCAAATGGCCTCCAGATAAGTACAGCCTAAGTTTCCCTACCTGTCTATTCCTGAACTTGGGCTCTCTCTCCACTCATCTTAGGATGGGGTGTTGCTGGAGAGCTTCTCTCCAGGTTCCCCAAGCCCCGCAGTCCCACAATCCACTTATAAAATAATCACTCAGACGCTTATATCACTTATAAACTGTATGGCCGTGGCAGGCTTCTTGTTAACTGTTCTTTTATCTTAAATTAACCCATTTCTATAAATCTATACCTTGCCACGTGGCTGGTGGCTTACCAGCATCTTCACATGCTGCTTGTCCTGGCAGTGGCTGCAGTGTCTCTCCTCCTTCTTCCTGTTTCCCCAATTCTCCTCTCTCTTTGTCCCGCCTATACTTCCTGCCTGGTCACTGGCCATCAGTGTTTTATTTATATAGAGTGGTATCCACAGCAATGGGGTGGTCCCAGTGTCCCAGACCAACCAGCTTGGCTACTACCTAGACCCACATCCTAGGCCTTGGGTTGGCCCACCCTAACATCTACCTCATTTGTGACCTGCTGGAGTGCATGAAGGAACTTGTCCTGCAGAATGATAACTACAGGATCTCCCTGACTCTGGGCGACAGCGAGATATTCAAGAGGAATTTCAGTGAGGTCCAGTGATGATGGTGCACCAGAGGCCCTGGAGCAGAGCAAAGACTCATTGCACTGATCATTTTGCTGGCGGGGTCGATTGGACAGAAGGGTGAACTGTGTGGCACACCACAGCTCCGGATGACACTGACATGAATGGAGAGGTGTTGGAAAGACAGAGGAGTGAGGTGGAATTTTTTATTTGCTTGCTTTTTGTTTTAATTAGTGTGGGGAGACATTCTGCAGCATTGAGGGGAGGATACGGAGGGACTGGAAGGTGAGCAGGATTGGGGTATGCAATGTGAAATTCCCAAAGAATGAATAAACAATTAAGTTTAAAAATACCTAAAATGGAGATAGCACATCTTACACTGGCTTTGTCACCCTTTCCCGGCATTCCAATGACTGTTTGAATAGTCGTGTGCATTCTCTCACCATCTTCAGATGGAAGGTTTCTTGGGGGAAGCAATACTGCATCTAGGACACAAACTCAGATTCCGGTGTGTTTTTCATGAGGAGTGGTGGTCCTTTCAGCTAACTCAAAAAGACAATGTTCCATTTAGAACAGCTTAAGGTGCTGTTATTGCTCACTAATCAGTTCCCAAAATCCAGCCCCATGACTTGAATGTGAAGAACTCTACAGTCTGCTCCCATCACTGTCAAGAACATCTTCAAATGGAGATTGCCCTGCATTGATAGATCATGTTTTCTACTATCTTAAATCTATTAGTTTTCAGATTTACAGACCAAATTCTAATCTTAACTCTTTTTTAAGAAAAGTCTGGAAACACTGGCAAAACTCTTTAAAGCATTAAGTCATTTCTTTGAAGTACCGTGTTCATGTGTGCTACAGCTTCAAAGAAGGGATAATATCCCTGAGATGACAACAGATGAGAAATGTGGATTGCACTGAGTGTGGTGGCACACACTCGTAATCCCTGCACTAGAGAGGGGCGGAGGAAGACGATGCTGGTCTGAGATTAAAAAGTGGGAAACTGCTTCAAAAAATGAAAATGTTAAAACCAACATTTGGGTCCTGCAGTGGGCTTTCACTGTTTCTAACTATCAAAGAAGAACCTGTGCTTTTAGAGTGAAAGACTATCTCCTTCATAAGGAGTGAGTCCCAGGCACTGGGTATATGCATGTGAGCACATGTACCTTGAAGATCAGAGACATCATCCCCCAGAGCTGAGGTCAAAGGTGGTTGTGGGTGGTGGGAACCAAACTTAGAACATATGCAAGAGCAGCACATGCTCCTAAGGGTGAGCTCTCTCCATCCCCATGACATTTTCATGGTTAGGACACACTCACTAATTCAGGAAATCATAACATGAAGGTAACTGCAGAAAGCCCTTCAGTTAAGTTGTCTACATTCTCTCCACCGTTGTTTGCGTTTGGTCAATGCCCCAATGTGTTAAAATCTTAGTCTTCAGCAAGGTGCTGTTGGAAGGTGGTTGAAGCATTAAGAGGTGGGGCCTGGAAGGAAGAAGTTGGGTCCATGGCCATAAGCCCTTAAAGAGATACTAGGCCCTTTGCCACTTCCATCCCTCTCTCAGATTCCAGGTCAATATGAGGTCCCCAACTTCCTTCCTTTGAGTTTCTTCCCCAATGTGCTGTATAGACACAGCTCCAAAGCAGCAGGGCTGGGTGAGCATAGCTGGAGACCTCTGGAGCAAAATAAGCCTTTTCTTCTTGGAAGTGGATTGGTTTCAGTTCCATTAACAGAAACTGTCAACTCTCCCATAAACATTCTGGTTCCCTTTAATAGCTTTTCAGATTGTGGCTGCCTGCATTCTGCTCTAGCAGGTAGATGTGTTCACTTTATTATGCATAGATAACCACAGCATATTGACCTCCACCCCTCATCTTTCCTTCCTTCATTCTCCCCATCTTTAGGGATTTATGCCATTTTTATATTATGGACTTTCATTACCAAGGGAAGTAAAATGAGGAACAGAAAGAAATAGTTTTGATCATGCTATTATCGTGAACAATGGCTCGACAACAACAGACAGGCTTGTTGTTCCTTAAAATCTCTTCATTCTTTATCAGCCACGAAGTAAGATGGGTTCTGCATCAGTTACTTTTCAATGCTGTAATAAAACACCACAAAGCAACCTGTGGAAGAAAGGAGTTTATTTTTGCTTATGATTCCAGAGGGATAGAAGTCCCTCATGGCAAGGAGGCTTGACAGCCACCAGCAGACATGGTGACTGGAGCAGAAAGCTGAGATTTCAGATTCTCCAGCAAGACACAAAACATTGGGAACTGGAAGTAGGTGAGGCTTTTACCAATTGATGCCAGCCTAGTGACTCACTTCCTCCACTAAGGGTGCACTCCTAGTCCTCCCCAAGCAGAGTTATCAACTGGAACCCAAATGTCCAAATTCCCGAGCCTAGGAGGGACAGTTCTCTAACAAAGTACCACAACTTGATTTTGTTTTTAATGTGCACCTTAAATTGTATTAATCACAATTTTATGGCAAAAGACACACTTTACAACTTTCTACATTTTTTCATTTATTTATTTATTTGTAGATGAGGAAGTACAAGAAAAGAGGGAATGGAACAGCCTGCAAGAGATGGTTTTCTTTCTTGGTCCCAGGGATCAAAACCACCTTGTCAGGCTTGGCAGCAAACACCCCTTTCCACTGAGGCATCCAGCTGGCCCCTGTTACATGGTTTTACTCTAAGATGTTTTTGAATATTTGTATCCACGTGTTTTGAAGATACATGAGTAAAATGAACACTGGGCCAAAGAGGCCACCAGCACATGAGAAGGTAGTTTTTTGAGAACATCAACACTTCACCCAGTCTTTATTTTTATTTTATTTTATATATTATTTTATTATGAGTAGTAAATTCTACATTGTTGTTGAGCCCAGGGTCTCCTACATACTAGGCAAACATTGTACCAATGACATATTGCCCCATCTCTACAAAAGGGCCTTTGAAAGGCTTGGTTTTCTCAAATATTTGCTTTTAAGAAAGTTTCATTACCAGATTTGAATTTCTAGGGGAACAAAAGTTCCTACCATCTTTGCTACATGATTTTAAATAGCCAGATTAAATTTATCAGTGCTCTAACAAAATGATCAAACATGTGACGTGAGTATCGAAGAAGGGACTGAAAACAAGAGATGTCACATTAATGAGTAGACTAACTTTGGAAGCATCGTGTCTAGAATAAAAAAGAGAGCTTACAACTCCTAAATAGGTAAAGAGGTATTCATATGTCTTGTACATAGAAAAGATAAATTTAAATAAATTATCCCAATGTAACACAACCAAGATGTAAATTTTCAGCTCTAAATACCTCTAACATTGAAGTATAAATTTAATGAAATTGAATTGTGTTTCAGAAATGGACAAGTTTTAATGCTTTCTGAAGATATGTGAGAAATATCCACTTGCTATGATTGAGTTAAAAGAGAAAATGCTCTTTGAAAATGAAGACAGCTTTAAAGTTCAGTGTTGGGTCACCATAGACTTTCCTGGGAAAATCCTAAGTGCTACCCCAATGTTCTAATAATGCTACCAGTAAATATTTTTATCATGAGTAAAATAATTTTTGAGGTCCTTAAGGATAAGAAATGAGTTTGTATAATATTCTCATGATTCAAAAGAACCAAATGCACACTCTGTCATGGGCTTGTGCAGGCCAATAGAAAACTCATTACAGCTTAGTTTTCAGTTCTCTATCATTCTCAACCCCAGGACTTTTGTGTACATCCACGCACTCGCTTTTTTTCTCTTTGAGCTTTGTCTCTGCAAGTTCAGTTTCTGAAGAGTCAATTTCCCCAGGGAGTTGTCGCTTCCTCATGAGTATTAAAATGAAGAACGCTGGGAAAAAGCTTGATCCTCTTAGTGCTGCAGGCACGCCGATGTAAATGTTCCTATTGAAAACAACTAATCTGTATTAATATAATTCTTAATGAGTTCAGTTGAAGCTAATTTTCTATATCCTTACAGATCATTTATTCCTGGAAGAAAACATCAGGTGATTACTTTGCCCATGTACTTTATATAATCTATTTTGCTGAGTTATTAAGTCTGTTTAGTAGAATGTCAAAATTTTTTCCAACATAAAATCTTAAATGCATTTTCTTCATTTTGATGATGGCTAGTTTCCATTGTCAACCTGACTGGATGTAGGATCATTATAGAGAGACATCTCTGGATGTACCTATGAGAATGTTTTCAGAAAGATTTAGCTGAAAATGAAGTTCCTAATACAGCATGCAACATGACCAGCCCCCTCATACTCTGCCACCATTTGTCCTCTGCCATTACGTCACACTCAGCCATAGTTCTGCCATTATCATATGGTCCTTAAATAACGAGCCAAAAGAAAAAAAAAACCTCTATCAGGTAAAGGGAACTACTCTTTTCTATTTTGTTTGCTCTGATTTTGATGACACATGTATAAAACACATGTATAGAACAACATACAGTCACTTTTCAAGATTTCTACTCAGCATTTGTTTGCTGCATTATACCAATAGATTTTATGATACTGGAATCATTCTGTATCTGAAATAATCATATTACTCATTTGTACATTTAGTAGATTCAATTTGTTAATTTTCATGCAGAAGCTTGCTTTTGCAATCAATTACTTTATCTTACAGCATTTTGCTACCTTTAACTATGTGTATGTGCTGGGTTTCTGTGTGGATATGTGTCCACGAGTCCTGGATACCGGGGAGTCCGAGTAACAGGAACTTGTAGGCTGCCCAATATGGGTTATGGGAATTAAACACAGGTTCTCTGGAAGAGCAATGTGTGCTCTTAACCCCTGAGCCATCTCTTTAGCCCCAAATCCTTTCCATTTGCTGAACTTGTCCAGTTTAAGCATGAAGACTACAGAAGCTTCCTGAAATGAATTAGGTAATTTTCCCTTTCACCTTTTCTTAGAAGAACTTGTAAACTGTTAAAACTTCATTCCCTGTAATTTGATAAAATATGCCTTAAATTTCCAGACTTAATGAATATTGGAAATTTTTGACATATGAACATTTCTAAATTACTATGAAAAATTCCTTCATTTTCTCAATGTTTATAGTAAAATCTAGTGTGATGAATAGTGTTGTAAACTTAATACAATCTATAATCTCATGGGAAGGAAGTTTTAGTGAAGGACTCACGTGTGAATGTGTAACCTGTGAATGTATCCCTGGGAGATATTTTGATTACATTAATTGAGGTAAGAAGACCCAGTTCCACAGTGGGTGGTACCATTCCTTAGGTAGAAAATCCTAAACTATATAAGCATATAAATATGATCATGGCTACTTCTACAGTGGGAAAGTATAAGTTTAGTATATATGTATAGATGCTTAAGACCAGATATAACAGTCTAGAAATATAATTGAGTTTTTTTCTAGATGGGTAATAGATTAACAAATATCTTAGTTTATTTTCCTGCCACTGTTATAAAAGACCCTGTCAAAACCAATTTGAGGGAGAAAGGGTGAATTTGCTCATAATTCTAGGTTACTGTCCACCATTCTGGGGACGTCAAGGCAACTGGAGCTTTAATGCAGACACACTGACAGAAGTAGTTGAGGCCTTCCACACGTTTACTATAGGCACGCCAGGCTGAGAATGGGATAGTAGCCACCCCAGCCATACACATTCGTGGACAGGAAAATAGCCAGCACTTTTTCTTTCCCAGAATTTTTCAGTATCCTCCTCACCCAGAAACAGACAGAACTGGGTCATACCTTCAGAGAGCCAAAATTCCTTTTGGCAGAAGGGGTTTTACAAGCAAGGAGGAGCACAGTGCAGTCTGTAGCAAACACAGGTTCTCTGTGGGGTTTTTGGGGCCTCCTGCCCTATAGGGACAGCAAGGTAACAGCCTAAGCAGACTGTCATGACCTCTGTGTGTAGGTCAGCAGGGAACCCACAGTTCTTTCCTATAGTGTTAGTGACAGGGGCCTGTGAAGCACGAGAGTGGTGGGAACCATGCAGGTAACTGCCTTTAGTCTAAACAGCAGCAATGCCCGGATCTCAGAGGCCAGGCCCCCTGGTCTGCTGGCTCTTGAGGTTAATGGTTTCGGTTATGTATATGTGTGACAGCATCCTCCCACTTTGTGAAACTCTCAGCCGGTTTGTACCACAACTGCTCTACTGAGCCAGGTAATGTCCATGAGGCAGACAACCACTAAGTGCAGTGGAGCATCTGTGGGTTCCCAGAGACGAGACCATCAGTCAAATTCAGGTAGCAGGCCCCTTCTCAAGGAGGCCCCTGGTGACAGCACCTGGCATGCTGTTAAACTGCAAGGGCCGTCCACAGATTTGGGTTCTTATTATATCAGGCTGCAGGCATGAGAGAGCTGTGACCTTTCCAGGAGCTAGAACGTCAGAATCCCTGCTGCTTGAATGTGCTGGGACTGCCATACTGACCCCTGTGGAAGGGAAAAGTCCTTCTCTCTGTTCATAGGTATGGGATGGTGGGAGCCAAGAGATTTGTTTCCACCAACAGTGCCATTGGTCTCTGAATCTTGCTGTCCTGTTTATCTCCAGTGTTCTGCTATGCTAGCTCAGCTCCAGATGCAGCTCTCCCCCTACTGCTCCAGGGCCTCTACACAGACACCTGCTCCCTTTTAAAAGTATTATGAAAGGTTAGGTTAGGAAACCCACACATGCTTAATTGTATCAAACATTTTAGAAATAATGGGAAATATTAAAATACAAAATAAGGAAGTTATACCATCCACATGCATTCTGAAAATGAAGCCAAATGCCATCTTATCACTCAAGAAAAATGTTAGATTATGAATGGGGAAATTTTATGCACTACAAAAGTAGGTCTCAAAAATTATCTTTACCTTTGGGTCTGAGAGATGGTTCAGCAGTTAAAAGCACTGGCTGGTCTTCCAGAAAACCTGGGTTCAACTCCCAGCACCCACATGGCAGCTCCCAAACTGCCTGCAACCCTACCTCGAGGGGATCTGACCCCTCACACAGACAGACATGCATGCAAATACTCATGCACATGAAGTCCAAGAAAATAGTTAAAGATTATCTTTACCTGAAGTTATTTATATCATACATCCTGCACGCCCCTGGTTCTCCACATTTCAGAGTCCCCCAGTGTAAACAGGTTCTGTCTATCAAGGCACCAAAGTAAATAGGTGCTGGAATGCCAGCTGCAGTGAGAAGAGAAAGAAAAACAACCCATTGCCAGGAAGAGAGAAAAGAGAGAGATGTGTTATTTTATTTGGAAGTACTTCACTTTTTTCTCTTAAAAACCAACATAACAAATTATGAATCAAAAGTGCTACACTTATGTTTAGAAATTATAAGGTAATGTAAAGTTTCTAGATCACAACATATGAAAACTATGTATAAGATGCTAAGAAAGAATCTATTGAGTTCATAGCCGTGAGCTTCATGTATTTTCTGAAATGTCTTGTTCTGGTTTTCTATACATCTAACAAAAACATTTTCCATTTTATTTTATTTTTATTTATTTGATATAAAAGATCAAATTTGTAATTAAGTTCAAGTAAGCTCTTTAAAGACAAGGGGAAATATTTTTTCATGTCTGCAGTTACCTTATTCTCAGACTAATTACAAGTTGCCATTTCTAAACACATGTGCTTGTGAACTCCAGTGGGTACAGCACATGTTCATTGAAGATGCCACCAGATCATTGGGACCTCCTGGTTGAGGACAATTGGGATAGTGTAGATCCAGAGACAAACTACCTTTCATATTGATCATGCATTGCCCCTCCCTCTGTCTGACTTTACACCCATGTAACTATCACATGAAGCCTTTGGTGGGATATATTCACTTAACAGGTTGCTAGCCTCCACTCAAACAAACACTAAGAATGTCATCAGATATCAGCTGAGCCTACAGAAGAGAATTCCATGCTTTGCTCTCACCAACCCACTAGATATATTTGAGAAGTCTTGTATTAATGACTTCCTTTGTTCTCCAACTATAAATATAACTAACTGTCACCATGTTGGAGCCTGATATTCGGATGACCTGAATCTCTGTTCCCGTTATGATGACTTATGTTTGATTCCAGATCAAAGTCTCTTACTCCCTTTAAGATGAGGGTTGTGTTTTGAGTTGGCAAGAGAGCTGCTATCTTTTTACTGAGTGAAAATTAATTGGTTTACTAAGTACTTAATATTGGTCTGATATGATGGAGAAATTGTTCATACCAAATATTCTTGTGCAAAATGCATGTAACCCAATTCCAAGTGACTTCTCTTCAGACTTGATACACCTGAAAAATACATATACATAAATAAAAGTTCATCATGCAAACCCATATCTGTCCTAGCATCCTCCCAATGACAGGTGTAGTTCGTGATCCTAATGGTTACGTTTTTCATTCTGAAGTGAGGATAATACGGTTCTACTATTAAGTCCACACAGAGAGAGGAGAATATGACTTCTGAAAGCTGTCCTGTGACCTCCACACTTGTAAAGCAGGGTGGAGCCCCTTAACCTTGGCTGCTAACCTAGATGAACAGTTTTTTGGTTACCATGGAGAACACCATGCTATCCCCAAAACTTTGAAGCCACAAACCAAATAGATAGATCTTCTTCTCTTAAGTTGTTTGCCAGGCATTTTGTCATGTTGATTAAAAAAAAAAAAATACTGAGCCTGGCGGTGGTGGCGCATGCCTTTAATCCCAGCACTCGGGAGGCAGAGGCAGGTGGATCTCTGTGAGTTCAAGGCCAGCCTGTTCTACAAAGTGAGATCCAGCAAAGGTGCAAAACTACACAGAGAAACCCTGTCTCAAAAAACCAAAAAAACAACAAAAAAACCTACCATATTTTATATAAAAATTCAAGGTATAGTAAAGGTGATCCCACAGATAAACAAAGAAGGAAGACTCCATCATGTAGACTATGACATTAAGAAAGTGCCTTTGTTAGCTGGGCAGTGGTGGTGCACGCCTTTAATCCCAGCACTCGGAAGGCAGAGCCAGGTGGATCTCTGTGAGTTCGAGGCCATCCTGGCCTAGAGAGTGAGTTCCAGGAAAAGCATCAAAACTACACAGAAAAGCCCTGTCTCAACTCCCCCCCCCCAAAAAAAGAAAAAAATGCCTTTGTTTTACAAAGTTAAAAACATTGGACCTTTGTCTTTCCTGTACTGCCTACAAAATTAGATGAGATGGTTTGAAAATTACATACAAAGGGGAGACTTATAATGCAGTCAGGTTAAAATCTGACAAATGTTCTTATAAATTAGGAATGTAGAAGTCCTTTTAAAACATTGTCTTTCCTCACCAAATACACATGGGTAAGAAAAGCATAATAAATGCAACTATTGAGACTTCATTTTGGAAGTGATTCCATGAAGAGTTCAAGAAAACACAACAGACTAGAAGAGTAAAGATTTTGTGCACACAGTAGGACTGTGTCATCCCTCATTGACATCGCAATCATCAGTTCAGCAAAAACGAGCAAAGAAACATGAGAAAAAATAATTTAAATAGACCTTAACTTCATTAAATCAAGAAATCATACATTAGGGCCTAAAAGATGGCTCAGTGGGTAAAGCTGCTTGCCACCAAGCTTGACAAACTGAGATCAGTACCTGGAGCCTACATGGTGGCAAGAGAACCAAATTTTACAAGTTGTCCTCTCATTTCAACATACATGCCATGGAATACAAACACACACACACACACACACACACACACACACACACACACACACACACACACACAATGCTTTTTAAAACCATACATTAAAACATCAAGAAGCCACACTTTCATACCTAGTGAAGAGTCAATGTCAGAAGGTAAGATAATTGAGAAAGTAAAGAGCATGACAGTGAGTCATGGAAGTAGGAACAGGCATGCAGTAACAGGAGAGCAGACCTTGAGAGTGTTTGGAGGTTTTAACAAGAATGTACAACTGCTGACAATTCCCTTCAACTATAATGATCCTCGTCTATGAAGAAAACTCATCCTTATCAACTGAGCACGCTGCTTTGAAACAGAGGCACCAGAGTAGTGAAGGAGAAAGAAAACATCATGTAGCCACATCAGCTAAATCAGCCTGGCATGTGATAAGGTGATGTATGTCACAGCCAATACTCTCTCACTTATAAGTCTTAAGAGCTAGCAATACTGGTGCCTTTATCTGCCTGTGAACCTATGAACAAGGCATATACCACATCTCCATTTGTGTGAATATAGGAACATAACATCTTACAAAGGAAAATGAAAATGTAAGGACAGATAACAAGTTTGTCCTAGTGAGTATCTATGAAGTGTGGAAGCAGGGGAAAGGAAGAATTAGGGGAAGGGAAGAGAAGGGAAGGGAGGGTAGGAGAAGGGGAGAGGAAGGGAACAAAAGGGGGAGGGGAAAGGAGAGGAGAGAAAAAGAGAAGAAGGGGAGAGGAGAGGGGGGAAGCAAAGGAGGAGGAAAGGGGACAAGGATTTTGAAAAAGAGTAGAAGGAGAAGAGGATGGGGTAGAATGGGAGTGTTGGCAAGGTAACAGAAAAGCACAGGGAAAGGAAGGAGCGAGTAGGAATCTTGGTCCAGTCTATGGATAAAATACGACAAATCATCAAATGGTATGTAACATTGTGGTTAACTCAACATTGCTTCTGAATCCCAAAGATACAAGAAAAGGTGTTTGTGTGGGAGGGAACTGCTTCCCCGTTGTTAGTGGGTATGAAGTTTGCTAGGCTGGAAAGAATACCTACTTAATAAAAAATACCTTGAAAACTGGCTTTGAAACTTTAACACTTTATCTTAGAAAGCTGAGTATCTGTTATTGCATTCATATGTCTCCTGGTTAGATAGTGTCTATCACTGCATTCATGTTTTTTGTTAAAGACAGGTTGAGCTCAGGATGTCAAGGGAGCCTGGTCACTTTTACACAGAGGGTTTCACACTCTGCCAGTCAGTTAGCTGAGTCTAGGGAATGAGTCCTAAACAACTCCTCTCTCCCTGCCAAAACAAGATGTCCCTTAATGTAGGCTTAATACATAAGGAGGGAAAATAGGAAAGGGCAGGCAGGAAAATTCCAGAAAACTTTAAATAGCTGTTAAATATAGCAATGCTCAGTATAAGAACCTTGATAAAGGTATTTCAGAGCATTGAATTTCTGGGAACCTTGACTCCAAGAGTCTTTCTTGGGAAATGGAATTTCAGTAAATGACCAAAAAAAATCTAAATGGCATTGATGGGGTGCTCAGTATGTAAAGTTGCTTGCCAGAAAGGCTAGATGAACCAGAACCCAGGAGCATATGTAAAAAAAATAGTTAAAAAGCTCAATTCAGGAGCATACATCTGTAACCCCAGCATTCCCATAGTGAAATAGGAAAAAACAGCATTGCTTGGGAACTTGAGGGCCTGGTATGCTGGAGTACACAGCCAGGACAGCAACAGAAGAAAGAAGAGAGACCCTGCCTCAAAACAAGAGGAGCAGAGAACTGATTCCCCAACACTGTCTTCTGACCTCCCTGTGCTCTTAGTGGCACTCAGGAGCCCCCCCCCCCAGAGAGAGAGACATGGAGAGAGAAACAGACAGAGAGAGAGAGAGAGAGAGAGAGAGAGAGAGAGAGAGAGAGAGGGAGAGAGAGAGAGAGAAACATCATACACTTGCATATGCACATACTACTAAGAAAAAAGATAGAAAGATAAATGAACAAATCACTTATTACCTCAGAAGAACCATATATCCAGGTATGGCTGCTAGCGAGTAGATGAAACAGCCAATTACTGACATGATTAAAAAGTACTGCAGCCTGATAGTACAGTCAGGGCCTTTTTTACACAGCCCAAGGACTGCAGATGCGTTTCCTGAAGACTGAATGCAGCTGCAATTTTGAAACACCTGTAAAAAAAATGTCCTATTTAAGAAAGAAAAATATTGGGCATAAATCTTCAGTGTTTTCTACACAGCCAGTTAGATCAAAATGGAGAGTGTTGGGGTCAAAGACATGGCAAATAGGAAGACACTCACCCAGTTTGAATGAGGACCTTAAATTGAGCACAAACACCATTGAATAAAAAAATACTGAATAAGTAAAATAGAGGTTTACTTCCACCTTTATTTTCATCTCTCTTTTTGGTATATTATAATTTTATTATAAAATATAAAGTGGTACTGTGGTTGGTATGTAAAGTGATTAGAAAATTTCTTAATAAAAAATGAAAAGGAAAAAAATATAAAGGGGTAGATTTTAAAAATAAGTATTTTTTCTAAATGCATAGAGTAATTTGCAAAAATTCAATTATACTGAATTCACATTTATTTTGTTTTTTTATATTTATTTTCATGTGTGTTTGGTCTTTGTTGGTGTGTGTACATGTATGTGTGTATGTGTGTTCATGTGTGTGCATGTGTGTATGAACACATGTGTGCCACATCTACATACATATAGAAGTCAGGGGATAAACTATGAGACTAAGTTCTCTCCTTTTACCATGTGGGTTGTAGTTTTGATGGGAAGGTTTGGTGGCAAATGCCTTTACCCACTTTACCAACTTTCTAGCCTGTACATAATTTTATAACAGTCAATATACTGCTGTGTTTTGTTTTGACCCTAATACAAAGAACTAAAACAAAACATATTTCAGAATGATGATGGAATAGTTAGATGCTTACTAATAAACAAAGTCATGTTCCAAGAAAAGGAGTTTATTTAAACAATATTTCAATTCTTTTTTGAATTGTTATATTTCTGAGTATATTAAGAATCAAAATTTATATTTCACATTGATTACCAACCAAGTCTGTAAGTATTATAACAAGTTTAAGACAAGGAAAATGCTTAACTCTTTCCTGCTAAGCCATCATGAGGGGATGGCACAGTCTATAGAGTCCTGCACCAGCATGAGGACCCGAGTCCAGGTCCCAGTACACATGAGAAAGATGCACGTGTGGAGGATGTGCATGCAACACTGGTGCTCTGAAGATGGGAGCAGTGACTCCCTGGCATCACTGGCCAGGCGGCCTAACAGAATCGGCAAATTCCAGGCCATGAGATCCTGCCTCAGAAGCACAAAGTGGGTGGGACCTGAGAGTCAACAGCCGAGGTTGTCTTCTGACCTCCATGTGCACAAGCACCTGCATACACACACACACACACACACACACACACACACACACACACGACTACAATAAATAAATAAATAAATAAATAAATAAATAAATAAATAAATAAATAAATAAATGACATTCATGATACCAAAAGATAAGTTTTCTGCCTGCCTCAGCTATGTAGCTAGTTTGAAGTCAGCCTTGGTTTCATTAGATCCTATCACAAAAGGGGCAGATTTTTTAAAGTTGTAATTTTTATGTTTTCTTATGTGTCTGCTTCTTTGTCTGTGTATATACAAGCAGGAACATGTGGGTGTCTGAGGAAGGCAAAAGAGAGTGTCAGATTGCCAGGAACTGGAGTTGGGAGATGCTCCAAGTGGGTGCTGGGAAGCAAACAGGTCCTCTGAAAGACCAGCAAGTGCTCTTAACAGCTAAGCTAGCTCTACAGCCCAGCCAGAGCATTTTAACTCCAATCATTTGAATAATGGTCTCAACTGCTTTGAAATTACAAAATAATTCCCAGACTCTGACAAAGTTTTACATAACATCTAGAAATTGTAAGGTCAGGTATAAATATATTAAGGAATTTAGTTATTCATAAAAATATATTATGAATATTTTAAGCATGGACTAATTTTTGCTTTTTAGCAGATGTAGGCTTAGATCATAGCACATATTAATGTAGTACACAAAACATCAGCCCAGATCACTGAAAGAGTGTTTACCATGTTGATTCCTGTTCCAACAGACTTCTCACAACCTGCAAGGCAGGCTGACATGTATGCTAGGCCATTCTCTCCACACACTGGGTCCCAGGTTTTAGTTAAGCAGTTACACCTTGTGTTGCAGTCAGCAAGGACATTATTCTCCACGTACAAAGGCTGCTGGATTCTGAAATGATTTTAAACAATGTTATAGATACTGCAAAAACCACAAAAGTACTTTATTTTCTTCTTTTCATCTCAGTACCTGCACACATACACACACACACACACACACACACACACACACACACACACACACACAACAGTGTGACAGAGAGAAAGGGGGAGTGAAAGAGAGTAAGAGACAGACAGAAAGAGAAACATTTCATCTTCTCCCCAGGACAGAAACAGAAATCAACCATTCAAATATCAACTAGTGGTCTCTATACCATGTTTCGGTCACACAAGTAGCAGAACTACTTTTTCAATTACTTCAAAAACAAACATTAAGTGCCTACCCTATAAGAAAGTACCATGCTGTTAGAGCTAAAAAGGAAGATGGTAATCTCTAATTGACCTGCATGATAAGAAATCATGAAAGAGGGCTGGCTTGAGAAAAATCTGCAATTTCCATTTATAAAATAAATGCTGTGGTTTTGCCCCCAAAGCAGAGTGGTTTGAGTGACCAGGCATGCTCTTCTGAGATATACAGAACCCAGCACTTACAATGGGATTGAAAGAGGATAATGTAGGAGTCTAGAGTCTGAATTCACATTGTGTCACTCAAACAGAGTGTGGAGTCAGCATGACTGGAGATGGAGTGAGAACATACAGCTCTACCTTGGCATTGTTAAAGCCATTTTCTGTAAACTCACTAATTTCCCCCTGAGTTTCAATTTCTACATGTACAAAGTGAAAAGAATCAATCCTGTCTTAAAAAAAGATTCAAACAAAGTGATATATATTTTATAATACAAAAATCTAAGACTACAGCATATATAAGATTGAACTATACCAGTGACACACACACACACACACACACACACACACACACACACACACACACGTTGACTTACAATGTATTAGATTCAGTTGTGCTAAATTTGAGGCCATTGTAGAACCCTATGAAGACTTGCTGGCCTGCATAGTCAACTTTTAAAGCTAAATGCTGTAGAATAATCTTCTTATACATTGTAAAGATGTGTCGCTCAAACTGGTTTAATAAAATGCTGATTGACCAGTAGCCAAGCAGCAAGGATAGGTGGGGTGACCAAACTAAGGATGATGGGAAGAAGAAGGGCAAAGTCGGGAGTTGCCAGTCAGGTACAGAGGGAGTAGGAGATGAACATGCCATGCTAATAAATGTACTGCCATGAGGCAAAACATAAATAGAAATATGAGTTAACATAAAATCTAATAGCTAGTTAGTAATAATCCTGAGCTTGTGGCCAAGCATTTATAATTTATATCACCTTCTGTGTGTTTATGTGGGACTGGGTAGTTGGGACAGGAAATGTCTGATTATATATGGCACTCAAACATTTGGCAAGAATTTTCACATAAAGCCTGAAAAACCTTTAAAGTGGATTCTAAACACATAAAAATGGAGTCAAAATCCTTCTTGTTAACCGCTTTTTCTTGGATAGGCTCTGTTTGCTAGCAGCAAGCACAGGCACGGCTCCTTTAAGAGACAGCACCATGAAACAGTGTTAGTGGCAAAAAATGAGTGGTTCTTTTCAAAAGCCCTGCTACCAAGCACTTAAATGGAGTCTATGGGCAGCAGGTGGCACACTACTCAGTGGTGGCATGGACCCAGAACCTCCCTAGAGATGGAGTGGTAAACATGGCTCCCAGAGCTGGTTGTAAATGTCCCTCTGCCATAAGACTGGCCTCTCAAGGAACCAAGGAGCAGGGCAGAGCCAGCTGCCAAAGCTACTGCTTTAGTCCTAGCCACACTGCTTAGCAGTTTAAAGACTCAAGTAGTCAGCAAAACAGAGAGGACAGATTCAGACCAAAAAAAAAAAACCTCTAAATGGGTTACAGTGTATTTAAAAATATACACAGGCTTGGGAGGGGAAAGAAAAAGGGTAGAGAAATTCCTTTAAAAATAGAGTAATAAAAATATAATAAGCTACATAAAGATGAAAATGATGAAAAATACACAGAGAATCTGGATTCTGTATGTTATTGTGTTGTCTTTAAATTTTTTGACTACTAATGAACAAATAACTGCTGAGAGACATGTGATTATGAAAGATGCTAGGTTAAACCAACCTATATATTTTTAAAAATAACTTGACTTCAAAATTTAAGTCAAACATATGTTACTTTGGGAAAGAGGTTCTGCTTTTATTTCCACAGGAATTGAGAGGCTCTAGATTCATTCTGGGTTCAGAAAAATCAGGTTTGTTCAAGGAAGACATCCTGAAAAATCTCCAATGGGAATAGGTCGCCCAGATGATCCAATGTTTCAGAGATCATCTGTTGCAGTTTCCTCTGAATACTACATCCAGAACAGCTTCAAGGCTGCTGGCTGAGATGATGTAACCTCACAGACTACTCAGTCAGGACTTGACCACAATCCCAAATTTTATCAAGGTTCTCCAAAGATTAACATTGCCCCCAATCAACAGGAAGTAGTCTGGAGAATGCCCACATTTCCCAAAACAAATTATGAATGTTTGTCATCGTTTAGGGGGGTTGGTTGCAAGTTTTTATGGATAATGGTCAGGAAAAAAGCTAAAAAAGGAGATTAGATTCAGGAATATTTTTTTGAAAAGAAAAGTAGGTTATAGAAATGATAGATTAAAAGGTAGATTATTGGATCTACTTTAATCCAAAAAACAACTATTAATCTTACATATTTTACAATGGTATGGATTTTGGTTTATCAATACAAATTTAAAGTTAATATTGGTATACTATATGTTTTTCTACTCTTGTTTAAGGTATGGTGTTTATGCAACTCAGTTAAAAATATATAATGTATAATTAAGAAATACAGATTAATAGTCATCTATAATAGTCTGACTTATAGTTATGGTAGATATTTTCCAAGATCATAAACAGATATATTTACATAGATAGATAGTCTTCAAACACTCCAAATACCTACAAAATAGGCATTTAATATGTTTAATAACCTAAGGTTTTTCATGACAGTGATACACATCTACTTATGGCAGCACCAATCTACTTCAGAGAAGACAATGGGCATCGAAGAAACTCTGTATGAGTTTTTTTGTTGATGGCAAAAGCTAGCCATGTGGGCAAAGAAACTGCCCTTGTCTCAACGGCTGACAGTTACCATACAAGCTGGACCAGAAGGATGCAAGAAAGGTGACTGCCAAACTTTGCCGAGACTAGGTAGGACAGTTCTTCAAAAATTCTCTGCTTCACAGAAAAGTCTGTCAGATATTCTAAGCTTGTAGGCTGAAGATGGATGGTTCAGTCTTGCAGAGGAATTTTAGGTGACTATCCAAGTAGCTTGAGGTCCCTGTCATTAGGTAACATTTCACTCTTCTGGGGTCTTTGATGGAGTTGAAGACTAAATAGTTATAGTTATAGTTTTCCTTAGTTATAATAGAAAGTAACTTAGATACAAAACTTTACACTCACCAAGGTAATATAGATGATTAAGCATTGTCTCAAATTTTGCCAAATGCAAATAGATTAATAGTGTTACTGTAGTTCTTACTTAATAACTATTTTTGTTGTATATAATCTTACTATGTGAAAGCAAAAACCTTCCTTTTAATATAGGCAAAAAGGGGGAAATGCTGTGGAATAATTCTTTTGTACACTGTAAAGATTTGTTACTCGAATTGGTTTAAGTGCTGATTGGCCAGTATCCAGGCAGGAAGTATAGGTGGGGTGACCAAACTAAGGATGATGGGAAGGAGAAAGGCAGAATCAGGAGTTGCCAGCCAGATGCAGAGGGAGAAAGAGTGTGGGCTGATATAGGAATGGTGAGTTGAAGAAAAATACAAGATAACCATGTATCACTGCCACTAATTTGTAATAAAATGATCTTGTCATACACAATCCTTGAAGAAAATAGACTAGCCATTGTAAAAATATTATGATCTTCATTAGGAAGCAACATACCCTTCATAAGAAGTAGTTAAGCCAGCAACTGGGAAATTATCACAGGTCATCATGAAATTAAAGAAAGATAGAAGGTACTCAGTCAGGGATAGGCAGAATGCTATGTATGCAGCTTTCTTGACAGTAATCTTGAACTTCTTCATAATCAAGCCACCAATCAAATATCCAACACATATTGGAGGTAAGTTATAAAGACCTGTAAATGTGAGTAAAATAGTATTTTTAAAAGATAGCATTAAAATAAATGTGTTATCAATTTGTCTAATACATCTTATTTAAGAAACTATTTAGCTCTAATATAGTGACCCTAACCCCTATAAGCTCACATATTAAATAAAAAGAGGTTTTTAAGTGTCCCATAATGTCACTTTAAAAAGACTATTACCATTTATTGCAGCAAGTTATATATAAGTATCACACACATACATATATGATATTAGATATTTCATGTATTTTTTTCACTCTGTTTATTGGGAATTTGACTCAGCTCAAAATGATTTAGAAGGTCACTGTAATGTCCAAGCTTATCAACTGCAGAATATTCCATGTATTGTTGATATTGCCCATTATTCTTCCTCTCTGAAGAATGTTTACAGCTCCATACCATTGCATTTAATTGTACCCATCTAAGGGTAGTGGCTGGGATTTGGAGGACACAGAACTCTAGATAATATAGATGCTGTCTTCCTGTGATTATCAGTTATCAAGAGTAAAAATGACCCAGGAAAAATCCAAAGTTGGATATACCCCAGGATTTAATGTACTAACAAGAAAAGCAGAGTGTGGTTGCACAGACTCATCAGGCCAGGGGACCCAGTGACTAAATAAGGAGTCATATAGAGGGTAAGAATTGAAGCCCAGAAGTAAAATCTGGAAGTAAAATACCAATGAGTTAAGCCTATTCCTCTCTTAATTAACATATTTACTCTTGAAAACTGACTGATATGAGCATGCCCCAATATTTCCATAATGATGACAATTTTCATTCTGATTGGAGAGAGAATAGAGAGGATATTTCTGGCCTCTCCTTCTCTCTATAGCTTCTTGATTTCCCTGGAGAGTGGAAAGAAAAAATTTACAAGAATGTCCTAACAGATTTTAATTTTGTTGTAGTCTCCTAGTCACATTATCTTACTGTTTATCATGCCCTTGGGGTGCTGTTTATCATGTCCTTGTGGAAGGGAGAAGTGGTACTAAAGAAATAATGAGACTTCATACCTATGAGAAAGACTATCTCTGCAGTTGATTTTCCATACTGCTGTTCCAGGTATTTAGGCATGAAGGTAAATGTATTGATAAATGCATTGAACTGGAGCACACTTATGAGGATGAAAAGCATGTAAATCGGATTACAGGAGAGGCTCTTCATGAATGGCAAAAAATCTGAAACAAGAGAGTGTCAATACAATCAAGCTAACTTGACCTTGCATTTTATATCCAGTGTTCTCCTAAAATCTTCTCACAAATTCTGTGCTGTGACACAAATATATCTGATAAATCTTTACTCCTTGGGGATAAAGTTCTATATTATTATTTAATTCACTTCTAGAAGTTAGTGATACAATTGGCCATATAAGAAACAGAACCCAATTGTGCCATCATTCAAAACTATAAGGAGATGGAATCAAATCTATGGCTATACTTTTTATTTTTCTTTTCTTTCTTTTCCTTTTATTCATATCCTATATTCACTAGAGAGTGACTAGTCTGTTCTCTGGAATCTGCAAGGTACTTTTTGATGAATTTTGAGTTCAGACAATGATGCTATCACTCCTTTGTGCAAAAACAGACAAGTTAAATGCTTAGGAATGCTCCAGGAATCATGCTGCAGCTAAGCCTACCACAGCATTCTTGCAGCACTTCACAACAGAACATTCATTAGAATCACCTAGTGATATTTTCAAACATCTCAACACGAGGATTACTATAAGGAATGCTGACTCATTTGGTGTATACTGAGTACTTTTCAACTGATGTAACCAGAACTTTTCCCTGTTTAAAAAGCTGAAAGTCAAGTTTGTAGCCTGTCTCTAATAAATGGACTGGATCTCACAGAAAATAATGAACTTCATTCTTAATAGACTCTTTCCTTTTTCTGTCTTCATGTTTCCTATCTTGATTTTCAAATTTTGTATTATTCTTAATTAAATTATCTAAATTTTTTAGAGAGTAAAGTATAAAGAAGAAACAATTTAGAAGTTAAGGCAAAGACGTTTAATAAAAAGAAGTGAAATCTAGTGGTAAAATTTATCTTTAGGAATGAGAGGGTTGCAGTCAGAATTTCCAAAGGCTTTTGAACTCACTCATGTTTGCTGACATCTCTGTTCTTCTAAATGAATTTTCAAAATTCACATTTATTTTCTGTATCTCTTATATTATGCTAAACTCTTTTATAGTTTTGAAAATCAGGTTGACCTGGCACACCACACAGTCTAATATATCAGTATTATTCCTTTCAGAATTGTTAACATGACTATGATTCTAAGAATGTTCAAGTCTCTGAATTGGTTCCCAGTGTCCTCACAAACTTATCCCCAATCCTTAATCTTTTGGCTTCAACATGTCCCAACCTCCTACTAAGGCAAAGACTCTCTGATCTACCAGACGCAATAGCTGTAAGAAGTCAAGCCCCCAACGTGGGCAGAGAACCTTGCTCAACCCTAGTCCACACTGACCAGAAGACAAAATAATAAACAGAAACCAAGGGAACAAAATCCAAGGAAGACAAACTCAGAAATTGACACCTAGACCAACAATCACCCCAAACGTAGATTACTAGACACCAGCATAAGAAATAATCAAAAACAGCCAAAGAAATATGTCAAAGCATGACAAACACTGCACAAACTGCAGACCCATCTAAACCAAATACAGGGTTTAAAGTTTTCCTTTTGCCTTTAGTGATTCCATGTTTTTCCTCCTTGGCTTTTCCTCCGTGTTTCTCTTCTTTGTCACTTTTAGTCACATCCACATTATCCTCTAGTCCTTCCTTTGGGAGTGTTTTAGGGAAACAGAAAAAGGGGATGCTGGTCAGGACATTCACTCCTGCACAGATCAAAAAGCCAACCCACCAAGCACCGACCCAGCGTGTGTCAGTGGGAGTTATGGTCAGGTCATCTGTGGAGAAATACAGACATTTTATTAGCTTGCACCATTCTTTCCTGTGTAAACTGCAGAAAATTATTAAGGATCCTAAGCCATCTAAACACAAAATTTATATATTATTTGTAAACTTTTCACACATTAGTTATTCTTATTTGGGCCTTGAACTTCTGATCCTCTGCCTCTGCTTCCTAAACGCTGGGATTACAGGCATCTGCTACCCCCTGGGTGAATTCAGACATTCAGAAATAGTGCCTGAGGTTAGTCAACTGGGTGAAGTTGAAATTAAGTAAGAAGAAAAAATTCTCGATTGCTACATGACATAATAGTTAAAACTTCATTTCAAAAAGATAGAAAAAGATTTGAGACATATTAAAGCAACCAGGTTTAACCCGATGTATTCATATCTCAAAACATCACAGTGGGGAAGACAGGGGGCTGGAGAGACAGCTCAGTGACTAAGAGTTATTGCTGCTCTGGTAGAGGTCCTGAGTTCAAATCTCGGCACCCACATGGAAACTCACTACTGCCTTTAACTCTAATTTTAGGACATCTGAATCCCTCTTCCAGCCTCAGCAGGCACACACACACACACACACACACACACACACACACACACACACACACACAAAGATAATAAAATAAAACATCACATGGTATCCATTTTTTTATGGTTTGTGTGTGCCTTAAAAAATATTATCTGATTTTATCTAGTAATATAGGTGATGTATTTTCCAGCAGTAAATGGGAATTTCAATCTATCTTGTGAAAAGTTTATAAATTGGTGCTTATCACATAACAGAAAGATCTGTTTCATTTTCCCCAGTGACTGCCTCATTGAGAAAAACCTGTGTAAGTAAATCTTTTAAGACCAAAGGTGTGGCTGAACTGTACTGGGAGAATGGTGGATATTTTTATCAGAAGGTGACATTTTGTCCTTGTCTCTGCTCCTCTTAGGTCTGTAATCTGTAAGTACTGATAATTTGTCAACTGAGGATCAAAGGAGGCAGTGGCATAGTATTCTGGAACATTCTCCCACACTCTAGGGACTGGACTATATAAATACAATGTGTTGTGTTACCTGTATTCACAGACCCAGTGTCTACGTAAATATTTGCACAGAAGGATCCCAACAAAAGTCCAAACAAAGGGCCAATGACCATTCCTGTTTCTAAAATCCCTGGAAGTAAACAAAGAGAGGAAGTTACACAAACACACAAAGAATTTGCTTACACAAAAAAGCCTTGGGGTTGAATTGTTTTTAATATTAGATTTATTTTTCTTCCTTTGCAGAGTTGGGTATCAAATCCAATAGTCTAAGCAAAAGTGCTCTACACCTGAGCTACAGTCCCCACTACCTCAGATATTTTTATATCCAACATATTAGAAAAATTAAGCTTGGTATGTATAAGTACATATATATATATATATATATATATGTGTGTGTGTGTATACATATATGTGTGTATGTGTTACATGTACACATGTGTGTTGCATGTACATATATTGGTTTTTATAAATATTGAGAAGGAAGCTCCCATTGTTTCACTATGGAATGTGCCCCAGAAATTCTTGTGTTACTGACTTCTTCCCCAGGGGACCCCACTGGAGTTCAAAGGAACCCTTCTGATGCAGGGCATGGTGGTGGGTATTCAGGTCATCTGGAGTAGAACCATAGCTCTTTCGGCATTCTGTTTTGCTTCCCAGTCACAAGATGAATGGTTTCACTCCACTCATCCTTCCACCACAATGAGCTGCCTCATGACAGGCCCCTAAAACACACAGCCCAGCAACATAGATCAAAACTTCCAAAGCACTGAGCCAAATGAATCCTTTATCTTTATAAATAACTATCTCAGTTATGTATTAAAATGATAGAAATCTGATTGACACAAAAGGTTTATCACTCAAAACCACCTTCCAAATTCTCTTTTATGCTGAGTTGAAGGCAAAGGCTGTACCATCACAGGCAATCCCATCAAGCCATGATGTGAGCAAGGTCATTTTGATGCTTCCATAGCCCTGTTTTCAAAGGGACTCTGATAAGTAGCTATAATTGTCAACTTGATACAGCGTTGATTTACATGGGGGGGGGGTAGGATTTTAATGAAGTATTGCCTACATTGGGTTTACCTGTGGCATGTCATCAGGAGGCTGTCTTAAGTTAATTGATGTGAGAAGAAGCAGCCCACTGTGGGCGGCTTCATTCCCTAGTCAGGGTGTCATCAGCTATGTGAGAGTGGGAAAAGAGCTGAGCACAACCATGCACGCAAAGACATATGCATGCACAATTCACTCCCTCTGCTCTTGTGGGTGTGGCTAGCTGCTTCAAGCTCCAGCTGCTGTGACTTCTCTGTTGTAGTGAATTGTAAGTCAAATGAACCCCTTACTCTCCAAAGTTGCAATTTCTCACAGCAACAGAAATAAAACTCACACAGTTTCACAAGCAGTGTGAACTGTGATGAATTTCCTGTGATGTGTCTTCATCAAAGTTCTTCTCCTGAAACTTCCTCCCAAAGAGAGAATGTGTCCTCATAACAGCACTTCTCTTGGATGCTATCCTGGTCCTCTTTCTTTTTTCTTTTTACATGTTTTTTTTTTAATTTATTTTACAGGCCAACCACAATTTCCCCTCCCTGCATTCCTCCCAATTCCTCCGCCCAACTCCCATCTACCCTCTTCCCCATCTATACTGGTCTTCTTTCTTATCTTATTATTTTTATTTCCTTGGTCCTTCCAACCACACCTGGCTTCTTTGAACCACCGCCAGCATCTCCCAACTTATCTGAGTTCAGAATCTCAGCTGAGCCATCCCTACTCACAGAAAAACTAGAGACAAACAACTTCAACTTCCTGCCTTCTCTTTATATTTTGATTTTTCCTCTTTCCCTGTGGTTCCATGGGTTAGTCCTCCTCTGTGTGCCTGACTTCTCAATACCAACCCTTCTGTCTTCCTTGTTCTCTCCAACACTCTTCACTGTTTGATGCCCTCTATGCAATGATTCCTATAAGATTTCCAACCTCCACTGAGTTCTTTCTTGTCCTACTGTGTCTGCCTTGACTCCTAACCTCTCATTCTGCTCAGACCCTTTCTAATTCTAAGATACTCTCTTGGTACCACCAGTGATCCCCATCATGGATCACTATCTTCACTTTTGATATTTTTATTGCTTATTATGAGTTTCACATAATGTACCCCCAATCATATTCACTTCTCAGTCTTCTCAAGTCCACCCCCTTCACTGTGACCTCCCCTAAAGAAAAGAAGAAAAAAGAAAAGAATACAAAGTCCAATTTGTGCTGCCCTAAAGAAAACTGAGTGATTCCCCACCCCTATTCCTGCCAGAAACCATCAACTATGAAGAGCTATACTTCTGGATCCCTAGCACAAATTTTAAGAATTCTCTTCAATGGATTCCTCTCTGGACAGTTTCTTTTCTTTTGGGGGAGGCGTGGTTGTAGGGAGAAGAGGCTGTCATAGAAGCCATCTATGTCTCTCATTCTCAACTGTGAGTCTGCAGTCATCAACACCACTGCAAAAAGAAGCTTTCTTGCTCTTTACAGTCTGTGGCAGTGTGGATCATGGACTTCCATATAGTTTCTGGTGGCAGAACAGACCACAAACAGCAAAAGCACCGCCCTCAGATGCAGCATGAAACACAGACACTATCATGTTCCTCGCTGGCAGAACAGGCCACAGACATCAACATGACCTCTAGAGGCAACATGGGTCAAGGACACCAACATGACTTCAGGTGATAACAGAGACCATGGACATCTACATGGTTTTCAGTGGTAACATGGACTATAGACATCAACATGGCCAATAGCAGGAGCACAAACGATATGGACATCCACATGGCCTTGGACAGATGTATGGACCACAGACACCATCATGCAGCCCCCTGTAGTAACAAGGCCCATGGACAACCACATGCCCTTTAGTAGTAAAACAGGCCACAGGCATGTACAGGGACCCTGACTGAAGCAAAAACACGGATACCAGCATAGCCCTAGGTGGCAGCAGGGACCACAGATATCAACATGGCCACAGGCAGCACTACAGGCCACACATATCAACATGGACCACAGACATCAACATGGCCTCCAGGGGCATCACAGACCTTGGAGACCTTTCAAGGAGTCCCAATCCAGAAAAAGAACCATTCTCCCTCTCTGATACCCTGTCATTATTCAGAGCCTGGGAGATTTGCAGCTGGGCAGGATGTTGGGGGTTATTAACTAAGAGATGCACATTTTTTTCTGATAATTTCAAGTAATACAACTCAAAGAATGAACTTGGCTATTTGTTAAAACTATGAAGAACCCCGTCTAGGCTGAGGGATTATAAGGAAGGACACTGTCATTATCTCCACAGAGGAGCAGGGTGCAGAGCTCTGAGTAGTAAAAGAGCAGATGGAAAATAAGAAACTAGATGGTATGGTGAACATGACTGAGAAGACACGATTCGGTATCATCACCTTTATAGCGAAGCAGGATGCAGAGACCCAAGAAGTAAAAGAGAGCAGATGGCAAACAAGAAATCACTTGGTGAACATGGCTGAAAAGACACGAATTTTTTTTTTACTTTATTTTTTTCCATTTTTCTTTATTATGAAATTTTCTACTCACTCTACATACCCCCCACAGATCCCACCTCCTCCCTTCTGCCACCCCTCAGCCCTCCCTCCCAAGCCATGATTAAAACCATACTTGGTAAAGCTTAAACTGCAAGAATGTTTATTAGAATGCAACAAGAGGAAACACTACAGAGCTAGGCTAATGGCTCAGGCACTTGTCCATGAAACCTGGCCCAAAGATTTCCCTTGGACCCCAGGCCAACTACCAAAAGCTGTCTTTTGATCACAACAATTTCATGCAAATTCACACACACACACACACACACACACACACACACACACACACACACGAGGAGAGTAAAAAGTGTAAAACTATATTTTAAAATCCTACAGATACAAAATGGCCAGCGTTGGAGCCATAATGACATATAGATGAAAGAATGAGAAGCTAAAAGCAGAAAAATAGAAAAAACAATTGAATTTATGGAAGACGTTCCAGGAAATATTGGTGAATCTCTAATGCTTTAAAGATAGTGTTGGCAGCATCAGAGAGTGTGCAGATCAGAGGGATTTCCAACAGTGAGAAGCAACTTGATGACACAGTTTGTCTGGAACTACCATTTAATTCCCTCATTGAACAATCTTATGACCTCTGCTCATAGTCCTGGAAACCACAATGCATCCAAATTAATAACTGATTTCTACCCTCCCAGAAAGCTTGATTTTTCAAACTTACTATGGCAGTTTGAAAGAAAATGGCTCCCAAAGGGAGTGGCACTATTAGAAGCTGTGGCCTCGTTGGAGTAAGTTTGGGCTTGTTAGAGGATGCATGTTACTGTGGAGGTGGGCTTTAAGGTCTCATATGTTCTCAAGCCATGCCCACTGAGACAGTCTACTTATTGTTGTCTGCATATCAACATGTAGAACTTTCTTCAGCACCATGTTTGTCTGCACGGCACCATGCTCCCCACCATGATAATAACGGATGAAGCCTCTGAAAATGTAAACCACCCCAATTAAATGTTTTTCTTTTATGAGAGTTGCCATGGTCAAGGTGTCTCATCACAGCAATAGAAATCCTAATTAAGACACTTACCAATGTATAAAGGGGAGTTTTCAGATTTAGCAAAATCTTCTATGTAGGAAATACCCAAGGGCATGATGGGAGTTTCACCAATTCCACGTATAACATTTCCCACTACTGCATATATCCACATTAATGATTTAATTTCTTTCACACACTCTGCATTAAAACAAGAGAAAATAACATGAATATTTTGACAGTCAAGTGTTGCTAACAATTAATTCAAAAGTTTCTGTAAGCCTTTCTCAAGTCACAAGCCCATGATGACCACCAAATGACTTAGGTAACTATGCTGGCTTTGAAACAAGGGGTCATCCCTACTGCATATTTGAAAAAATATTTGGCAATGGAGTAAAAGTGCTATGCTGGAACCAATTCCCACTTGGGTGGGAGAGATTACTCTACAGATAGACACCACTTTCCAAGTCAGTGTTCAGTGACAACACATTGATTGGGAGAATTTACACAAGCAAAATAGGAAAACAGTAAAAAATGAGGACTTTCCCTTACTTCCAGGGACCCAGTTAGTTAATATGTGCACTACCTCACTCCTCCATGACTTTGAGGGAGGAAATGGAGCACACATGTACATATATTTCTGACAATTCATGCTGTACTGACACAACACAGAGAACATTAATGCAAGTTTGAATACCCACCTGCCTCAATTACTTTATAGAAATTAAATAATTAGCTGAAGAGTAAACATATATTTTTTCTATAGATTCCATCTTTTGCTATCAACCAGCAGATTGAATAGCAGATAATCAGTGGAATAACACAAACTAGGCCAAATGGACTTGAAAGGCAAAAGGAATCATCTTTGAAGGTTTTCATGTACCTCCTAAGTTTGTTCTAAGCTAAATGAACTTCCACTCCCTAGGGAAGCTGGACATTGTATTTTCAGGGAAGTGAAGGACAATGTATCCTGAACTGTGGACTGGACGGAGGCTGCTCATAAACGTTCTAAGCACAACTGGGTCATGAGGTTTAACTCTTACTTACTCCTTGTTCAATAAAATCAGTTTTCATCTCTAGGAATTCAGATTCTTATCTTTGATAAACATAATTTCTGTCTACAGATCACAGGGAGACTATAAACCCTCCTCTAAGGCAGAACTGAAAGTATCAGACACTGCAAGAATCAAGTGCTTTGCCGGGGCTCTGCACATGGGAAGATTTTAACTTATCCACCATAATGCAAGGAGCAAAGGGAAGGTTTTTCAAATGTCAGTGCAGGAGGTGAGAACAAGCTAGCATTGAGGCCACTGTTTCTGGTTGCTTTGCTTAGAGGGTTTCTATGGCTCAGAGATTCAGAGATGGCTGCTCTTTGATTCTCAAGTTACTTTGATCTCCACCAATTCCCGGAAACAGTGACAGTCTAAGCTTTGGAGACTGCTGCAATTTCTGTGGCATGGATCATGACAAAATGGAGATGTTCTGGCCTGAGGTGATTCTGTTGAGACAGCTCCAGACTAAGTGTCCATGAGACTTGTTGGGTCCTTTAGCATCTGTGAGTTTTGTTGGAACACAGCCAAAAGAATGATGCATGGTGAACAATACCCTGGGGAACTGTGGCTCCAGGTACAAAGGCAGAGAGGCTTTTACAAGTGCATTTCATTCCCCAGATTGTTCATAGACATTATTTTGTGCTGCCTGTGACAAACAACTACATTCAATTCATAAGTTATGTTGATTCTTGTTGGAAGAGAGAACATAGCTATGGAAGCCAACCTGGTCAGTGTTCCTTGAATCTGGATATTCACTTCTGCCTTGCTTTCACGCTTTCCCAGATATAATCTACAGTCTGTGCCAGGCAATTGTGTTTAAATTGGCCTGCCCTGAGATAGATTTGGAGGGGGCTGCTCTGTTAACATTTAGTATGTGCTTACTGATGTTTATTTACATGTGTTTCTGATCCCAAACGATGCTCTTGAGACCATTGCTTTCATTGTTTCATTCATGTATAAAGTCAACTGAAACTGAAGCAAGGTTGTCTCAGCATCAGACTGTATCCACCCCATCCTTCTAGGTTCTCAAATCCTGATCCCAGGTACAGCAGATCTGCACAGGTCCACTGAAAAGTCAACAATTTTAATACTTTTTATAAATATACATGTAAATGTGTGTACCTTCATGTGCATATGTGCAACTTATGTGTGCAGGTGCCCAAGAGGGCCAGAAGAGGGCACCTAATTCCCCAGGACTGGAGTGACAGGGATTGTGAACAATCTGATGTCTGTGCTAGAAACCAACCCAGTCCTCTATAAAAATGATGTGCTTCTCTGAATGGAAATATCGCCCAGAAGCTCCAGTATTAAATAGTTAGTCTCCACTTGGTGGTGCTATTTGGGGAGGTGGAGCTGGTGCTATCTGGGGAGGTAGAGGAAGACTGTCACTGGAGATGGGCTTCAAGGGCTTAAAGTCTCACTTTAATTCCATTTTGCTCTCTCTGCCTTATGCTTACAGTTGAGATGTGAGCTCCTCATTCCTGCTCCTGCTGCCTTTCTCTCTACCATGATTGATTCTCACTCCTCTAGAGCAGTGGTTCTTAACCTGTGGGTCATGACTCCTTTGAGGGTCCAATGACACTTTTACAGAAGTCATCTAAGACCATCTGAAAATATAGCTATACCTTATCATTTATAATAATAGCAAAATTATAGTTATGAAGTAGCAATGAAAATAATATATTGTTGAAGTCATAACAACATGAGGAACAGTATTAAAGAATTCCAGAATTAGGAAGGATGAGAACCACTGCCCTATAAACATAAGCACAAATAAACTCTTCCTTGTATAAATTTGCTTGGTCATAGCATTCTGTCAAAGTCAAAGAAAAGAAACTAATACATACAGTAAGTACCTTTACCCAACATCTGACTGTGTCTATGAGTTATGTACAGAGACAGGTCACCATGGCTCTGATATAATCATTAATGAGCTAATCTGTTGATGGAGTTATGAGATGGGAACTATTGATAAGTACTGAAAGGTAGCAGGTGGACCTAATTGGAAGTTAGTCATTGGGGTAGCATGTACATAAAGGCTATATTTCACCACTTCCTGTATTTTGTTTTCTATTCTTCCTGCCCACCAAGAATTGAAGAACAGCATCACCCAACACTCATGTCACCATGATATTCTATCCATAAACATGGAGCCAAGTTCCCATGAACCCTCTAAGACAGTGAGTGAAAACAAATCTTTCCTCTCTTGAGTTGTTCTTTGAGGTTTTAATCACAGTGATTTAAAAGTTAATAATATAGCATATGAAGGGCAGGAGCCAGGACCACAGTGCCTGGGCCCCTAGGATAAGGGAACACCACTCTTGGTTGAACTGCAAAGTAATGTATCTGTTAAAGAGGGAAAAGGAGACTGAAAGACGAATTTCTGGATAATCAAGGGATTCTGAAATGTGGCATAGGCATGTGCTTTCCCGTGGTACATCAGGTGCACAGCATAGAATGATGGAAGCTTCTTTCTGGCTATATTTCTTATTTGTATAATCACTGGTATGGCTAGTTTTTGTCAACTTGACACAAATCTAGACAGACCTGAGAAGAGGGTATCTCAACTGAGAAACTGCCTTCATCAAATTGGCCTGTGGGAATGAATGTTTATGAGGCATTTCCTTCTTGGTTAACTGATGAAAGACAGCATAAACCACTGTGGGCAGTGCCAGGGCTGGGCAGATTGGCCTATGCTGTATAAGAGAAGTAGCTGAGCATTCCAGTATGCAAGACTCATTGGTGAACTCTGCTTTGGTCTCTACCCCCAGGTTCCTGCCATAGCTTCCCATATGATGGACTGCATTTTGTAAGCTATGTAAACTCTGTCTTACCTGAGTTGGTTTTAGTCAATGTTTTATTGCAACAACAGAAAACCAAACTAGACCAATCACATAGATCTCATCATGTGTCCAAATCCATCCTTTAAGTCATCTTCCCTTGTGGACTAATTCTGCAGTGGTGCTGCAGTGGATACCTTTGGCTCATTTTTAAAACACCCACTTTAAGAAACAAAGGAGTCTTAATAAGCATATTCAAACTCAGGAGGCAGAGCATTCTATGTTATTAGACAACTCCCTTTCCTGAAGAGGGAAATAAAGTTTGTCCATTTGTCTTGTATCCCTACTAAACCCAGTGTCACATTCAAAGCCCTTCATAAAAGAGTAAACATGAGTCAACCTGCTGGGTCATGCGTTGGTGTTAAGGTCTGGGTTCTGTTTCCCGAACACAAGAAACTGTTTGAGGACAAGTTGCTTGCAGGTGAAATTGTTGTTTCATATTCATATCTGTGTGAACACAAAAAACATTCATTGTGAGGATCTGAGTGCAATGGGAGCTTCTGCAAATTAGTGACTACTGCTTCCCTGAAAACATAGCATCCAGAACCTATACAGACACATTTCCACAGCAGTCGTTGTCATCATCATAAATCCTATTGCAGGGCCAGCAAGATAAAGAACTTTCTGCAGAACCCTGATTACCTGAGTTCAATCCATGGAAATCACATAAGGTGGAAGGAGAGGAATGACTCCATAAAGGAGTCCTCTGATCTCTATACTTGAACACCTACACACACACACACACACACACACACACACACACACACACACACACACACACACATACATAGAGGCAACACAAATATATACACAAATACATATGTATTTGAGAGAGAGAGAGAGAGAGAGAGAGAGAGAGAGAGAGAGAGAGAGAGAGAGAGAGTCAGTCAGTCAGAGTCTATGGTTTTCACCTGACTGGTTTAAACTCTAGAACTGCATAAACTGGTTGTAGTAACTCATGCCTCTCACCCTAGCACTTGAAAGATGGAGAAAGGAGAATCAGAAGCTCAAGGCCATCTTTATCTAAGCAGCAAGTTTGAGTCCAGTCTGGGCTTCATGAGATCTTATCTCAAAAAAAATAGGATGGAAAGAAAGAAAACAATGACCTGAATGAATAAAAGTAAGTAACCAATATCACCAAAAGAACTTGATAATCACCAAAAATGTGCCCCTCTTTTACAGTTAGATCTCAAGTCTCTACATGTAGGTAACATTGCTTTCAGATTCTCTAATGTTAAGGCTCTGTGATTTCTTTTTTTAACTTTATATTTTTATGTATAAGTGCTCTGCATGTTTACCTGCATGCCAGAGGTCATCATATCATTTATAGATGGTTGTAAGTCATCATGTGGTTTCTGAGGACTGAACTCAGGAACTCTGAAAGAGCAATCAGTGCTCTTAGCCTCTGAGACATCTCTCCAGCCCCCTCTGTGATTTCTAAGTGACTATTTCTTAGACATAATTGAGGTGAGATAAAGAAAGAAAGCAAGAAAAAAAAGAAACTCACAAAAGTAGAGTTAAGATGATAAAAGTTTTAGAAAGACACAAAATAACACAATAAATCAAGATACCTGTTTTATGTTCTCTGAACTGTGGTCCTACCCTTCCTCAAACAATCATTCTCCTGTGTATTCATTAAACCCAACAGAAGAAAATGTTCACATGTCATAACAAGAGATGGCATTATCCATCACCTGACAACACTGTGCCATGGCACCAAAGGTGCAAATAAACTGTGGTCATTTAACTCTATCAAATCACCAAAGGTCAGCTTGTCCTAGAGAGAAATGACAGAGCAACAGTAGAGGAGAATGTGTCAGCTAAGTCCCTCTCCATTGTAGGTATGCTGGATTTATCTCTAAGTGCTTTTTAGAAAAGTGATAACCAGAGAAAACCATGGGCTGCTAAATTCTATATGAGTAGGGAGCTATACTTGCCAAAAATCTAATTTCTATGCTGCATAATATAGCACAGAAGTCAGAATCACTTTCCCTAAGAACAACTGCCTAAATATCCCCACAGAGTTGGCCAGTGAAGTGTGGACAAACTTATGTGTCTCTCTACTCATGATCCCATGAGGCAAGTCAGGTTCAAAGAATAATTTGGGAGAATGTTGGAAAACACAATAATAGTCAAATATTTGTTGATGATTTGAATAGAATAGAAACTAAAAAATAATTTTTAAATTCCACCCACAAATTTTTAGTTCCCTTCAAAAACAACTGAGAAGATAAAATATCCTTCATTTAGTTCACTAACCACTTAAAGTTGAGTTGTTCACTCAAGGTCCATTTATTCCCCAATGGACAATAAAATTGCAGAAAAGTGTTTCAAAAAAATGAGGAAAGCTCATTTCCTCAAAAACAAAAAACTCCAGATATGGGGATGATTTCAATTGCTACATTGGTGCATGGCATGCACCAATACTGGGTTTGATCCTGAGCACAAAATAAAACAAGATATGGTGGTCCATACCAATAGCACCAACACTCAGGAGACAGAGGCAAAAGGATTAGAAGTTCATGAATATCCTTAACTACAAAGTGAGATTGAAGCCACCTTTAGCTAAATGAGACTCTCATTCAAAGAAAATAAAAATAAAAGTCTTGTGAGATACCAGGTGTCTCTATGTGTACAGGTGCTTGTGTACAAGCCTGACAACCTAGATTGCATTCCAGGACCAACAGAGTAGGCAGAGAAAACATAATCCTGAGAGTGGTTTCCTGACCTCACACAAAAGCACATACACTCCACCACCACAACATATACAACAAAATAGATAAAAATAAAAAACTGTAAGTGAGAGACTGAAAGTGTAGACAACTTAAGCTCAATCAAATCTTGAGATTGGGATATAGATGTGAGAACCAAATCAGAAGGTAAGGGAAATATAACCATCATGCTTTAGGGAGTAACAGGATATGTTCCAGGTCTCTATTGAAAGTTGCATGAAAAAAACTACTAATACAGGGCTTAGCTGGGCACACAAAGCAAAGTCTAAAGTGTGGGTTAAAGTGCACATAAGGAATAGCTAGATCCTCAGACTCATCCTCCATCTCTCCAAGTGGAAATGCTCATAGACAGGAGAGGAGCCAAACTGGTACACTGAGGACACAGGACAAAAAGGAGGATCATTATGTTTTAAAAGTCCACACAGTGAAAGATGATGTTCCCATTCCTTTCTAGATAGTAGTCAGTTTCTACCTTTTTAGCAAGTGCAGGGAATTCCTACCTAAGATCACAAATTATACACATTTCTGAGATAGCTCAAAATCAGCCCATCCAGCTCAGTTACCACCCAGTCCAGCTCAATTACCACCCAGTCTAGCTGAGTTACCAGCCAGTTCAGTTCAATCACCACCCAGTCCAGCTCATTCATCAGCCAGTCCAGCTTATTCACCATCCAGTCCAGCTCAATCATCATCCTTTCCAGCTCAATCACTACCTGGTCCAGCTCAGTTACCACCCAGTCCAATTAAATCACCACCCAGCCCAGCTCAATCACCTTTTGATTCATCCTACTGCAAAAGACAGAAGACTCCCATTAACCAAGTCTATAGTTGTATACAGAATTTCCAGTTAGCTTTCCATTGTAATTCTCAATTAAATATGAACCAATAACCAAGAGCCATCTATGGGGGACACTCTATTACAGTAAGTCAAAGACAAACAAGAGCTACACTTGAAGGGGCCAGAGACAAGAGAGACAGATAAAGAGAGTCACACAAGAAAAGATGCTAAATTCTTAAGAAAATAACAAGATGTCCCCTCAGAGGAGATAATCGAAGTAGAGAGGTGTCCTTGGGTGACAAGCCCATCCAAGAGCCTGATGACAAAGATAAATCTCCCAGGAAGTACCTAAGAGATGCAAAAACATGAAATTAAAAAGATGACAAGATATGAATGAAATCTAGGATACCAGTGCTCAAATAGGAGCTGAAGAAGAGTGGGAGAAGGAGAAAGTTATCATCAAGTAGAAAGGAGGGAAAAAAGTACAAAAACTTTACAGACTGTCCTGACTGAAGGCACCTGATGGAGGTGGCAAAGATCGTAAACCAATCGTCATCAGTGTCAGACAGTGGAGCTAAAAGAGAAACCAGTCACAGGAGTTAGAACTCTAATTCTACTTCCAAAACACACAAACTTTGAGGCAATGTCTACAAAGGCTGTAGGGGATCTTTTTTCTGTACAGGAAGAAGTGAGGGAGAGTAAGAGGGAAGCAGAGTAGGATGCTCCTCCAGTGAGTATGTAAGAGAAAGAAAGAGGCGAAGCAAGGCAGTTGTGGGTGCTCATCCTTGGAGTACCAACACTTGGAGGGCTGAAACAGGAGGATCACCAAGACTTTGAGGCCAGCCTGAGCTACATAGTGAATTCCAGCCTGGGCTACACAGCAAGACCCTGTCACAAAAAGAATGAAGCTGGACTGGAGAGATGGCTCAGTGGTTAGGAGCACTTGTTGCTCTTGAAGAGGATCTGGGTTCATTTTTCCAGCACCCACATGGTAGCAGACAACCATCTCTAACTCCACTTCCAGGGGAAACGATACCCTTCTGATCTCTGTGGGCCCCAGACGCACACATAGTTCAGACGTATACATGCAGGGAAAACACTGACACACGTCAAATTGATGAAAGATCTTACAAACAAAAGGAGAGATAGAAGAAGGAAATGATGAAGAGTAGAGGGGAGGCGGGAGGAAGAGGAGAGGGAAAGCAGACAGATTCATATGGAAGAGAATGATGGGGAATTACAAGGAAATAGCACTGAGCTGGCCTAGAGGTTTGCAGTTCAGAGGCAGGTGGAGAACAGCAGACACCAGCGAGAGGCATGCCCGGGACAACCGTGCAGCCCTGACCTGTTCTGAGGGAAGTTCACCCTGCCAGCCTGTGAGGGCTAGGGAGACGGGGAGAGACTCAGAGAGTCAATCTAATGGGGACATGAGATAAGCATTCAGTCTAGAGAAAGAATCCAGCTCCATAACAAAGAATAGCACGATCCTATGGTGGAAAGCAGTATTTCGTATATAATTTAAGGTTAAGGTATTAAAAACAAACAAGACTCATAGGCAAAAAGAAAGAACTGAAAACTTTCCCCAGAAAGCAGGAAAGTGGGGGGGGGACCACAACATAATTTCACTTTTATAATTTTCTGTATAGAACACTTTGGTAAACATGAAAATAAAATCAGCCTTGACATTGGTCTGTCCCTTGCTGCCTGTGATTAAGTCACACTGTAGACCCCTTGTAACTGTAGGGTCTAAATAGTCCTGATGAAGGACTCAGCACAAGCTTTGGCAGATTCACAGAATCTGTTTGGTATCTCAACTTCATGAAAGCAATGTCTCAAATTCCCACTTCACAGTGGACAGGACTGGACCTGAAATGGACCCAGGCTACACGAGTCACAGATCACACCAGCAGAGTGGAGAACATAACTTCTAATTTCCATATTAGCATTCTGAACTTTGGGGAAACATTGCTCCTCACAGAGACAAAATTCTGAACTTCATTTCCTGTAGGGAAAAGTTGAACCTAAAACATCAAAGAATGGAATACTCACCGGTCCATCAAGAAATGAGGTAGTGATATTATGAAACACCCTAGGCCCATAACCGCACATCCGACACCAATCACGATAGGCCTGTGCAGTTTTGTTCCAAAATAACTCACAAATATAATCAACAAAAGGTTTCCTAGGAGAGGGGAATGAGAGTGCTTGTTTCAGTAAAGTAATAGCAGATCTTAGTCAACAGCCTCTCCAGCATTTGGACTCTAAGTTTCATTGTTTAAACAACCACCTTAAGGATACAGGAATGGGTGCTTGGGAGGTTTGGGCATTGTTTGTGTGTTTGTGTGTATGTGTGTGTGTGTGTGTGCGCACGCGCGTGCATGCATGTGATCCTTCTCCTGTCTATTATGACCCTGATGGAAGGTTTTCCTCCATTTTGGAGAATATTAAAGGCTCTTTTCAGGATTATCCAGTCCTTGGGAATAGATACAAAAGCAGCTGTCAGCCTGCATGTCACCTCTGACCTCTCCTCTCATGTTAAAAAGTCAAACCAAAAATTTATCTGTGGTTTAGGAGAATGCTTAGGTTTAAATAAACTCAGTGGGAAACACTATTCTGACAGAGAGGCCTTTGATGAAGATGTTAAGAGATGAAAGAACCAGTGTGGCCTGGTGGCACAGACCTGCCATCCCCAGTCACAGGGAAGATAAGAGAAGAAGACTACAAGATCAAAGTCAGCCTGGGCTACAAAGGACGTTCAAGACCAGCCTGGGCATCTTACTGAGAACTTCCTCAAAATAAAGAGTTAATAAAGGGGTTGTGGATAGAGTGGTAGAATGTTTGCCTCATGTGTGGGAGGCCCTAGGCCCAATCATCAGTATTATGCACATTTTAAAAAAAGATTTGAATAGAACCCAATATATCAGTAAGTTCTCTACAAGGCACTAATTTTTAATGTGATGAAGAAATTTACTATGATCATACTACACATAAAGGAAAGATCAGAAAACTCAAACATATTTCTTTGATGACTTAGCAAATCTCTAAGTGATCGCAAGTATTTGAGAGATAATGAAAGACTTTGTTTTTCTTCCAATTCCATTTCTCTCTAGTCTGCTATCTAAGTAGAAGAGATGTTGCTTTATTTTGGATGGGGGTGTGTCCCACATCTATATCCTTATTACCCTAGAGTAGCTTCTCTTTATTTCCAAAGTCCCTGTAACCGAGGTCATCATGCAGAAGGTAATGTCCCAGGACACCCACTGTTTGAACTTTCTATGTGTCTTGCTAGTCTACAGCTATACCCTCCAGAACACACTGGATCTTGTCTGAAATCTCTATTGTGTGAGAGGAAAAGCATTCACCCTCCTATAACACTAGGCTGACTTTGTCCACACACAAACTGTTTGATGCTTTACCTTCTACAGAAATCCCGCCTTCACATTTACCTCTCCATTTCCCCATCTGGAAAACCTTTCCTCCTTTAGGAGACTGTCTTCCCAAGCACAGTGTGTCCCATAGACCTTGGATAACCAATGGGCTGCACTTGCTGCATCTAACACACTAGAACGTGACTGAATCTGTGAAAGGTCTATGGAAGGCATTCATCCTGACTGCACTGTGAAGGCCAAGGACACAGGGGCAGAGCAAGCACTACGGAGATTGATCCTGGAGACAGGATGGAACATCCTCAGTGTGGGTTTGCTACTTCACCAACTCGATTTTCTTTGCTGTTTTCAATAAATACATTAAAGGCAATTTCACCTTGAAGGAAGTAAAAACTTAGATTAAACTAGAGGTGAGAGACACCACGATCTCCAGGTCACTTTGTCTAAAGAGGGCATCTTTCCCTCCTTCACCCTTTGTACTATCATATCCCAGTTCTTTACACTAAATCAGGGGCTAAAGTTCATTCACTCTTCTTAGCAATCTTGTCTGGCACAACTCAAACACAGGAAAGCACCCTCATCTTACAAGTGACTAGGAGTGGAGAGCTGACAACCTCACAGACACAGTGGGGGAAGAGAAGCACTTGCTCTCTTCTTCAGGACCCCAGTTCCTCCAGGCTCCCACAGCAACCTTGTAAAATGCCAAGAAAAAGTATTTAGTGTCTCTTTGAGTTATCAAGTGATAGAATTAAATATTAATTCTCTAAATCTTCTGCCACTTGTCAGAAAAAAGAAACCATGTCAGGGTATGTGGCAAAAATTGGGTTCCATCGTGGGGATATTTGAATAAGTATTTTCTTCACACCCAAACAAGGCTACTCAATCATATCAGGAAGGATGTAACTCAGTCATACCAAATAGTCTACTGCAGGAAATAATGAGAGAATATCAATATATAACAATAAGTAAATGTGAAAATCACTCACCAATCTCAAAGCTCCCATTGATAAATCCAACTGTAGATGTTGGGATATCAAATTGTCTCTCTATTTGTGTGAGCATGGAATTCATATAAGTTCCTGATAGTGATTTGGATACAAATGCCCATGTTAATGCCAACAGAAACATCTAGGAAGAAAAATATTTAAGAAAAAGTAAGGGCTTTGTTTCCCCAAATGTATATCTGCTATCTGTTGACAAAACAGTGTTGTGGGATATCTGTATACTGTGTGAAGGGTTATGGCTGTGATTGGGGTAATGAAAAGTTGAATAGCCAATAGCTAGGCAGGAGGTATGGGGGAAGAGGAGGAGAATCTAGGCACCTGGGAGATACCAGGAGACTCAGAGAGTAAATAGGAGGTGTGAGATGGAAGAGAGGTAACATCACGTAATAAAATATAGATTAACAAAGATGGCTTAATTTAAGTTATAAAAACTAGTTAGGAACAAGCCTAAGCTGTAGGGCAAGCTTTCATAATTAATTAGTCTTTGTGACATTATTTGGAAGTGGTCTAGTTGGACAGAAAAAGACTCCTTACAAAACAGCCTCTACCATGAGATGAGGATTGTATCCAACATAAACAGTCCTTGAACTTGCAAAAAACTTTGAAGTGTAATCTCTGCTCGGTCATGGTGTCGTAACTCTGGAAAAGCAGGGTTAGAATAGCTGGCTAGCAGTGCTGAGTTCTGTAGGCTTTGCTCATGTATCAGTGTCCCTTATTCACACAGAAAGACAGGCAGTTATTCTATGCAAGACGCAGCTATTGATGGCTCCTCAGTACTATACAGTTATCTGCAGGACAAGTGTTATCCACTTTACGGAAGGGAAGGAACAGAACACAGAATTACACGACAGCATCATTTCTGCAGCAAGCCTACTCTGTTCTATCTGCAAGAATGACAGGTCTCTGGATGTTCCTGGCCAGTTCAACATTTTGCCCTCTTTCTCTGCATCCTTGAGAACAACAAGCTACATTCTCACTGCTGGAGGCAGCATGACCTGTTTTATTTTTCTTCCTGGGGCAATATGCCCTATAACCCTTTATCTCAGTAGTCCAAGTGGTGTTCATGGCATGAAGACACAGGAAGAACATTCTGGGGGTCTCTTGGGTGCAGGATGAAATGTGGCTGTGTTCTTATAAGACTCCTCCCTACCTGCCTGTTACTAATGAACTCTTGAGTGATGTAGTAAATGAGCTTCCTGTTTTCCTCAACTTCTCTTCCAGCAGCTGGTTGATGGCAAATGTCATCAATCCAGCATCTGTGTACTATCAAAAGTCTAGAGAGTACTTCCATACTATCTCATCTGAAATAATAGGCAGATCATACTGTGTTAGATTAGTTATCACTGCTTATAAATTTATTGTCACTAGCACCAATTAATTTGGATAAACGAGAACAGAAATAAATGTTTAAAAAAAAAGAATTGAGAAACATGAACACCAAGTTCAGTATAGCTCAAAAGTACTCTATGATTGTAAGAAAGTGTAACTCCAGCTCTAGAAGTTTGTCTTCTAACTCCAAATGCCATTTGCAGAGAAGTTCTCTCTTCCCCCTACAAATCCTTCAGAGGATGTGATTGACACTTGATAATTTTCACATGGGTTTTCTAACTCAGGTCCTATATTTAAAAGCAAGATATATCAAATTAAAAAAAAAAAACAAGCTTAAGGAGATCTTTTATTTGATTTGTGTTTTTGAAGAGAAATCTAAGCAGGTAGTGAGCACAGTGCTCTTTCTCTAAAGCGTTAGGTTCTGGGCAGAAAGTGAACAAAACCAGTGTCCATGCTGGTTCACGTCCACTGCTACACAACATCTGTATTTATAAAGCTAATCCTGCTGACTGTTCACCTCAGCACTCTAGAATCTGAACCAAACTCCTTTGGAGCTGTCTTTTTATTTCTTAAGGGAGTTCTCTTTTTTCTCTTTTTTCTTTCATTCTTTTTCTTTGTGTATGTGTGTGCATGTTAGTGTAGGATGAGTTTATGTGTGTACATGCACATGGGGAGACAGAAGACAGTATAATACACACCTATAACTTTTTAGATCTCACCCTCCTTTAAGACCCTCTAAATCAGTGGTTCTTGACCTTCCTACTGCTGCACATTTAAATACAGTTCCTCCTGTCATATTGACCCCAACTACAAAATTATTTTATTTGCTACTTCATAACTGTAATTTTCCTACTGTTATGAATCGAAATATAGATATCTGATAATGCAATGTATTTGATATGTGACCCCTGCGAAAGGGTCATTTGATTCCAAAGGCATGGTGACAGACAGTTTGAGAACCACCACTCTAGAGCATTCTTACTAAGTTTCCTGGATGAATTATCCTGGTTAGACATCCCTAATTATAAAACCAACTTCTTTAAGGCAAGAAATTAACAACAACTTGGGTAGAGGCAAAATGACTTTTGTGTTGGAAAAATTCTTGTAATCTGAGCAATGTTACAAGGACTATCAAAACTTTCTTAAAAGACTCTCATGCACATATACATGTATACAAGCTAACAATCCATACCTTGATCTTGGAAAAACATTTCACTCCATGAGTCGCAACCCTGTTCTCAGGTTCTGCCATGTTGTTCTTCTGATTCTTCCCAGATGTCTATGCTTTAAATGTCTTACTGATGTGTTTGCAAGAAAACAGACAGTTGTTAATTATTACTAAACAAATCATTAAAAAAAAAAACCTCTCAGGACCGGAGTGTATCTTTTTTAAAAATATTTTTAAACAGAATTCTTTATTGATTCTTTGGCAATTTCACAACATGCACCCCAATCTCACTCACCTCCCAGTCACTCCGTATCTGCCTATCAACTCTACAGCATACCCCCCAAAATTAATTTAAAAAATCATCACTCCTCCATCTTTCCAGTACCTCTTCATTCATCCTAATGGCATCAGGAGCTGCAGCAGGTCATGCAGTATACTCTTTTGTCCAATCTGTCCCACTCACAAAATGTTCATGGGTTTTTTTTTAGGTTTTGGGAGGGTTGTTGTTGTTGTTGTTTATTTATTCTTTGTGTCTTATACATCATGCCTCCAGATCCCACCCATCTTCTTCCCCACACCAAATAAAATAGAAGGGAAAAAGAAGGGGAAGAAACAAAGAAGGGGGAAATCTCGTCATGGAAGCTGCAGTGTGACACAATGACTCACAAAGTAAACCTGTTTATCCATATATATTTTGATGCAGATTTTATCAGAAAGAATCATTTGTCTGGTTCACGGCCCCTGGTCTCTGCTGCACCATTGATGATGGTCCCTCACTGGGACTCTTCCTCGACATCCTGTTGCTGCCCTGTGTGTGGAGATCCTGCATCCCTGGGTCCACAGGACTGACACCCCCACTCCCTAGCCCTCATGCTCCAGCAGATCACAGATGGGGTGAATGTTGGAGTGGGTGAGCACATAACCCTGGTTCTGGGCCTGTGTGGTTGCAGGGTTGGTCAGCCTGCCAGCTCTCCCCTGTCTTGGCCACCATCTAAAGAGATGAAAAAGGTGAGGAGTGGGATGAGGTGTTCATTATTTTTTAATGAAACATTGGTCTGGTTCAAGGCCTCTAGCACACCATCATCACTGGACCCTCACTGAAACTCCTCTCAAATATCCTGCTGGTGCCCCAAGACATGGGGATCCTTCAGTTATTGTTCTGCAGGACCAGTCTTTACATGCAGCAGGTCATAGAGGTCATAGATGGGTAGATATTATGATAGGCCAACCAAGACCCAGGATGTTGGTCTGAGTGTTAGCTGAGCGGGTCCTCGCATCGTCACTGGGACTGCCACCTTCAGACAAGGGGCAAAGCCAGCTCTCCCAGGCCCATGGTGAAAGGTGGGGCCATCTCTCCCAAGTGTGTGGGGGGTACAGCTCTTTCATGGGGGGATGGGACCAGCTCTTCTGCTGCAGTGTCCAGCAAGTGGCTGGACCAGCTATCACAGGGCCAGTGTGGGGTTGACTGGCTCAGCATGGCCCTTGGATTTCAACAAGAATAGTTCTTATTTCCCTCCAAGGTAATGTGGGCAATGGACATCATCACAGACTCCAGCTGCAGCAGGAACATGGACCCAGACATACCCTTGGCAGCCACTCAGGCCTAGATATCACCATGGCCCTGGTGGCAGCACAGGCCACCCAGATCAGTATGGCCCCAGCAGCAGCAAGGCCCTTCCTTGGACACCAAAATGATCTCAAGTGGCTATCCAGACCCCAGGTATCTGTATGGTCTTTGGGAGGACCATGGGCCCAGACATGGTCCCTGGCAGCAGCCCAGACTCAGATGTCACCATGGCCCCAAGGTGGCAGCTCAGACCCTTGGTGTTGGCATGGCCTTTGCTGGTATCAAGAGCCATGACATCAACCCAAACTGTGGCTGCAGAAGGGCCACGGAGGGCTGGGTGTCTTACTCAGGGTTTCTATTACTGTGAAAAATACCAGGACCAAAAGGAAATTAGAGGGGAAAGGGTTTACTTTTGCTCACAGTTCTTTATCACAGTTCATCACCCAGGGAGGTCAGGGCTGAACTCACAGCAGCAACCTGGATGCAGGGCAGATGCAGAGGCCATGGAGGAATGCTGCTTCCTTCTTTGCTCCCCAGGGCTTGCTCATCCTGCTTTCTTATACAACCAGACCTGTCTGCCAGGATGGCCCCAGCCACAGTGAGCTGGGCCCTCTCACCTCAGTCATCAATCAGGAAAATGCACCACAGGCTAGACCATCAGTCAATATCCTGGGACATTTTCTCAGTTGAGGTTCCCTCTTCCCAAGTGACCCTAGCCTGTGTCACGTTGATATAAAACTTTCCAGCACAGCTGTGTAGGTGGTTCACTGGGTAACATGTTTGATTCCTAAGCTTGAGAATCTCAGTTTGAATTCTTAACAACCAAGTAAAAACCAGGACTTTCTTTGCACCTGCCTGTAACCCCAACACTGGGAGGACCCAGACATCAGGATCACTGCAGTATGCCAACCTGGCACTCTAACAAAATGAATAACAGACAAGTTCAGTGAATAGACTCCATTATAAAACCTAAAGTGGAGCATTCTAGAGGAAGACACTCAGCATTGATTTGTTGCCTTCATAATATGCACACCTGTTTATGTGCACTTTCACCTGCACACATACATGTATATATACACACAAACCTATTCACTGCATGCACACACACATACAAACATGGTGAAATGTGCTCCAACAAATAAAGCTTGCCTGGAAATCAGAGTGCAGAGCTAGCCACCAGAGGCAAGGCAGTGGTGGTACACACCTTTAATCCCAGCACTTGGGAGGAGGAAACAGGAAGTGATATGGCTGGGTGGAGAGAGGAAGTGATAAGTGAGGTGGAGATAGGAGCTCCCCCTTTTGGTCTGAGTGTTCAGTAGAAGTAAAGAGTCTCTCTAGTGGCTGCCTGCTTTGCTTCTCTAATCTTTCAGCATTTACCCCAATATCTGACCCCAGGTTATTATTAAGATCAATTAGAACTTGTGATACTTCTGGCATCCAACTAGTGGGGAATGAATTCACAAAAAAAGCTGCTTGCTTTTGTAGCCATGGCATAGGCTGAAACTACATGAGGCGGGAGTCACTACCCCAATGGCTAAGTTTCTGTTGCAGCCTATCTGCAGCAAACGCCATAGGCTTTTGGGCTCCAAAAACCATAGGAGTTAGCTGCTCTTGCACATTACCCACATGCAAATGGCTGGCTCTTTGGCTTCTTCTCTCCTGGTGGGTTGTGGGCTCTCCCTGGAACCACTCTGTGGGCTGCTACCACAGTAGGTAGCTGCCTTGTAACCTGTCCTAGCTTCTACTGTTCTACACAGAAGCATTCAACTTCACATTTGAATCATCATTGTCAGCAGATTTGGTGAGACAATTGGGAATTCTTAAAGGGGGGAATTAATTAAAAGAGAGTTTTTTCCCACATTAAAAAATTGGAAACACTATTATAATGGAGGGAGTTAGGTCTCTGTATGATGATACACTGGATGGTTTGAAAATGGAACAATTAAATGAAAGGGTAATTAATTTAGTTGGGATTTATATAATGTCAATTATAAATATTATCTGTTATTTTTGTTTATCACTAAAATATTTGGTTAATATGAGTGCTAAGACACAAGTTTTAGAATAACTTACTAAAACAGGTCATAGAGATATTCAGACCCAGACAGAGGAATTTAAAGGAAAACCAATCTCAGCGTTGCATTATAAGGATAGAGAGAAATAGCCTAAGGTTTTCAAACAGCCAACCTTAATTTATCCTGTAACCTTACAGGAACTGCCAAATGATAGATAGCCTAAAGGCTGTGTGCAAAGGCAGACATTGAACTAATGAATGTAGATCAACAAGAGACAGACAGGGTAATCTTTTGCCATTGGGAATGACTTGGAGGCCTCTCACAGACCACCATGTCAAATTCAGTTCAGTCATTTCCTGTCATCATTAAGGAAACTCCTTCCCAGAACAATTAAAGAACCCAATGCATATTGGAAAAAAACATACTGCTCTGGATGATAGAACAGCTGTAGAAAACAGAACAAAAAATTCAGGAGAAGCCATAAAGCAAATATTTTGGCAAGCTTCTATAAATGAACAAAGACCAAAATTAAAAATACATAAAAAAGACATCATCATTGAAGGTCTTGTAGACACAGGTGCAGATGTAACAATAATTGCACCAGAATCTTGGCATCCAAACTGGTCTCTTCAGGAGGTAAATGTTCAGCTTTTAGGGATTGGAACATTATCTCAGGTAAAACAGAGCATGATATGGGTCAAATGTATAAGGCTAGAAGGACAAAGAGGAAAAATTAAAGCCATATATGACTAACATAGCAATGAATTTATGGGGATGTGACTTGTTACAGCAATGGAATACTCAGATTAACATTCCTCCAATCTCAGAAACAAACCATAAATTAACAGATGTTTCTGGGGAAAAAATATTAGAATATAAAGAACAGTCACCTAACATTCAGGTTGTACAAGAACAGGGCACAACAACTGCTGAACTTTCAAAGGCAACAACAGCTCTACCTTTAAAATGTTTAACAGACAAACCTATATGATTTGAGGAATGGCCTTTAACATTAGAGAAACTGCAGGCCTTAGAACAGCTAAATGCTCAGAATCAGCCAGCTCTTGGAATTCTCCTGTATTTGTTATTAAAAAGAAATCTGGAAAATGGAGAATGGTAGCAGATCTAAGAGCTGGTAATAAGGTGATTCAGCCAATGGCCTCTCTACAGTCTGGAATTCCTTTGCTTTCTCTGTTACCTAAAGGAAGGCTTCTTATAGTTATTGATTTAAATGGCTGTTTCTTCACTATACCTTTACAAAAAAAAAGACAGAGAAAAAATTGCCTTCATGGTGCCTACTTATAATAATTCTCAGCCTGTTAAGAGATATCAATGGAGAGTTTTCCCACAGGGAGTGTTAAATAGCCCCACCTTGTGCCAATATTTTGTAAGTCAACCATTGGGAATGATACATACACAATTTCCTCAATCTATTAATTATTTAGGATATAAAATAGGTCTTCAAAAAATTAGACACTAAAAGGTGCAAATTAGTAGAGATCAATTGCAAACTCTTAATGACTTTCAAAGATTGCTAGGAGACATTTCCCATCTA